GTGTGTGTGTGTATGTATTTACTTAAGTAGTTGATTTATCACTATCTAGAAATATAGTTGTTCTAGACTCGAACGTGCTTACATATATGACTACTGCTATTGATTTAAATCTTACACATAGCCATCATACCTCCCTGTATAAAGGATGTATTTTTAAATGAAGTTCATGAACTCGACTATTTGATACTTCATTTTTTACATAGTCATCTCATTCATCAGTGAATACAAACACAGATATCAATTATCATAGCCTCTCTATTTTAATATTTTCAAATGATGCAGATTACAGATATATAAGAGATACATATAGAATATAATAAGAATGAGCACTTTCTTTTTTAGGAGAGGCTATGCCGCTATGGTTAATTATATCTAAATAATATTAAAATAAATACGTCGACAACTCGGCATATAAATACATTTCAAATAGTCATCTCGACTCAATTATGAAGAAGAGCGGCATGTCACGACAGAGTACAGACCAAAAATCCGTTACAGTGGTATATTTTATATATTTTTTCTGCTGTGTAAATACCCAAATAATATACTGGACTGACAATTCACACTTCACACCCCTGGGCCCTGGCCTTGGGTCTGAGGGCTCTGACACCACTGAACCACTGACCCCCAGATCGAGTCTTTGACCCAGGGCCCCAGCGGCCCAGCCCCCAGGGCCTAAAGAGGCCCCCAGCCCAGCCGCAGTCTCACAGTCTCAGACTCAGAGTCAGTCTGACTGATAGACTCTCAGACTCGGAGTCTCATCAGTGTTGAATGTTGATTGTTCATTGTTTTTTTTAATAACAGTTTGTGAGTTTGCCAGTAACCAGCCACAAGTCAGAGCTATCAGTGATTATTTCACATTCACGACTTCACCGCTAACTAAAACTTATATAAAAAAGGCGACCTAAGCCTAAAAGCCCTAAGCCCTAATCCGGTATGGCTTATAGGCGGTAAGCCGCTGGGCCCTTAGTCTCTAACGCCAGTGCAGGGGTGGAGTTTATGACATCATCGGTAATTACCAGTCTGGTTATTTTCTGTGGTAGCGACAATGCAGACTGATAGATCCAACTGTAATCGATATTCCATTGGACAGAACAACGTCAATCCTGTCTCATATCCAGTAATAATGTTAAGACGCTAAACTGATACGAGACCATCAATGAACTATTCGATTATTATTTATTAACGAATAGTAGGGCGACAATATATAGAGCCTGTAATTATAATTGAATCAATAGTCATATATGTAATTGTCTATAAATAGAATTTAACTATTGTACACATTACACAATCGATCTATTTTCCTATGAATCTGCGATTATGATTATTCTGCACAAATATATCCCCTCACGAGCATCCGTACAAATATTGACTACTCGAGCAGTTTATGTGTGTCAACACTTGTGACTGAGGGGTTAACCTCTTTTATGCTTTCAGCGGTCTATACGTAGAGGCTAATATATATATATATAAATCAGAGAAAGCATCTGCGCACTTTTTGATCTCACTAAACTATCTGCATAGTTCTTCCTGGTATTACTATAATATCAACAACTGAGACTAGTGCTCACAATCATGTTTTACCGTGTTTGAACGTATGTCCGCATACAACACGCACCTGAGATACATTCGAAACTCTAATGCTCGATCAATTCAAATATAAACATATCCTTACATCCTTAATTCCGTGTTAGACGACTATTAAGACACACATACACATATATATAAATATATATATATATTCCTATCACACGGACCGTGTATCGCTGAACGGATGGAAGTCATTGAGTCATTGTCACAATACTAAGGAACACGCACGAAATTACTTCCAGCGGGAGAAAATAACGGGAAAGCAAGTCAATTCCCTACCTCCCAGCAGGCAAATAACTACTAAACCAGGCACAGCCGATGCATTCATTTGCAGTACAAACTCGGATGTACAAACTAATGCTATTGCTATTGCTATTACTAACGCCAGTATAAGCATGAGCACGAATATGAATTTCAAACCCGCACCTGGGGGTAGTGTTTCGCGTAAGCCGAGTGCACTATCGCGTGAATCGACTTCGTCTGTAGTCACCTGTCCGATATGTTGGGAGGACTTGGTGATGGAGAAACGAGCCCTATTTACCACAGATTGTGGACATAAGTTCCATTTCTCATGTATACAAGTGAACTTTGTTGGGGGTAACCTACTGTGTCCTATGTGTCGAGCACATTTTAAAGAACCACCTGTTATACTGCAAGATAGAACTATGAATGCAAAGTGGTATTGGAATGACATATCACGCGAACGGGCTGAGGCTCTACTATTGCAGGATGGTACAGATGGTTGCTTTTTGGTGCGGGAGTCTACCTCTATGCCTGGTAAGTATTGGTGTTTTT